TTACACGTGGTCTTTTTTTCTGCATTGTATATATCATGAGTAAAACAAAAAATACCAAGCCGTTAGCAACTCTCAGCTTCAACCACTTCTAAGGAAAACAATGTGATTTGAAAACTATCTTCAAGATAAGTGAAAGACACTTATAAACCAGTTTGATGTGAGCCAGAAGAAAGTTCTTCCTATCCAAAGACCAATGACTAATGACACATCAGAGCTCTGCTGCTTTAGGTTAAATGAATGACTCCAAAAGTTTCTTTTAAAAGTCATTACTAACTTGATTTGAAAAGTAAGCACTACCTAATACAAAGCAAGAAAAGAATGAGTACATTTGATTAAGTTGAGAAAGAGTAGTAAAGAGACAATATGCTACATTATTGTTTAACTCAACATCATGTAGTGTTTATCTTATTATTCCCATTTTATAGGTGAAGAAAAACTAAACATTTCTCCCCTTTAAATCTCATGTTCTATCTAATGACTTTTACAGCCCATACTGAGCCTTGTTAGCAATATGACCGAAGAAAAGTCTAGGAGTACTGTATAATTAAAAATAGCATCTGGGAATAACCAAATTAAGAAGAAACAAAAAGAAACTGGAGTAACCAAGAAAGAACAGCCTTTCCAAACTTTTCTTCTTAACAGAACCTCTATAGGAAGTATTTCTATGTATAAAAGAAGGCTTGCAGGCCCATACCATGTTTAATTTAGACTCTTCAGTGCCTTTTAAAAGTATGATATTAAAAACATTTAATCTATGATCCCTCATTCCCTTAATGTCCCTAAATTTCTTATACACAACACAAATTCCTAAAACAGAATTTCATTTATCATGTAAATCATCTTTACTTACATGACAACAGACTATATTCTTTTGATTCCACCTCAGAAAAAAATATTTTAAATTTGGAATTATTATTACTTCAAATATAGGTTATTATTTATCTCTCTGGAGAATACTTGCAATTAAAATGAAATAATTCATTTGGATCCATTATCAGCCTCCTCAAAAAAATTTAAGGTTACTTTTACTTAAAAAACAAAGGAAGTAGAACTTGAAGGGTAGATTATAACTGAATAGGATGGTAAAGTAGGAAAAGCTCAAGCAAGATGCAAAGAATAAAACTAGAAAAGGCATGAGTAAATTACCCTACCAGAGCACCCATTTTAAAACAAAAAAATATCATTCAGTCACCCATTCACTCATTTAACAAATATATATTAAATGCTCATTCTGTACCAAGCACTAATTTAGGTAGAAGGAACAAAACTAGAGGCAAATCAGAGAACTATCCTTGTGAACTTACATTCTAGAGTGACTGAACATAAGCAAGCAAAATTTATACTAGATAAAACAGTGATAAATCCTTAGAAGAAAAAAAAAGTGGAGAGAGATGGTGCAATGAAAAACTATACCAGGGGAGGCTGAAATAAGGGCATAGGGGGAAATATGTGAGGTGACTGAGTAAAGAAGGGAAGAAAGTGAGAGTATGAGCCACATAAATATTGAGACAAGTACATTCCAGAAAGAACAGAAAATGTAAAGGCCCTAAAACCAATGCATGGTTCAATATGTTTAAGAAACAACAAAGGAACCAGAAAGCCTGGAGCAGAATGAACAACGTGGAATAAAGTAGGACAAAGGGTCATTGAGTTAAAAGGGAGCCAGACTGTTCAGGGTCTTATTATGAAGGATAAAGGCTTTCACTTTTACTCCAAGGAAGATGAGAAATCAGAGGAGCATTCTGAGCAAAGGGGGTGATATCTTAGGCTCAGCTATTTTAATATAACCACTGTGTGGAGAACAGAGTAAAGACAAGAAAGGTCAGATGCAGGGAAAAGTTAGTAGGCTACTTCAATAAACTTGTTGAAAGATGATAGTGGTTTTGACCAGAACAGTGGGAATTAGTAAGAAATTAAAGAATTTTACATATATTTTACAGATGGAAATAAAATGATTTCTTAACAGACTGAATGCGAGATAATGAGGAAAATAAGTCAAAAATGACTTCAACTTTGGCTAAGGAAATGGAAGGAAGCAGTTGTCATTAGTTAAAACGGAGATGACTGTGATGTACAATAAATTTATACTAAGTCTCTTAGAATTCTGCATGTCTTGCAAAGCAAAGGCACTGCCTTTATTTTGAACTAGCTTTTCAATATTATCTGCATAGTGAACAGCTTTGGATGACACACAGTATCACTTGAGAGCAAAGGGTAGGTTTGTTCACTTCCCAATAAAAAGAGTATCTCATTTTACTGTACTTTACTGTGCCTCACAGATACTGAGTTTTTCACAAATTCAAGGTCTGTGGCAACACTGTATTGACCAATTCCATCAGTACCAGTTTTCCATTAGCTCAGATGATATTTAGTATTTTTTAACTAGGATATGTACAGGTTGGGGGAGGATTAAGACACAAAGCATGTGTAGTATACTACAGTGTAATATAAACATAACTTTTATATACACTGGAAAACGCAAAAGTTTGTGTAACTCACTCTACTGTGGTGATCTGGAACTAAACCTGAAATATCTTCAAGATATGCCTAGATAATAGGGACAATGGGCAACCTTACTACCAATTATAAGAGATTCTAGTTACCAAAACTTAGGGTTCCTTTCACATAATATAACCCATTCCATGTGCCAGATCTCTTGGCCTTTCTCCTTTAGCCTCTAAGAACTGAGTCTCTGGGAAACAGAACAAATGCAATAATCTGGCTATAACTATTGCTGTGAATAATAAATCCTTTGCCTTACGTCTTCTGCCAGCATCTACGAAACTGTGACAGGCCTACTTGTTAGCAGGGTAGAATTTCAAATTCTCAACAGTTCTTCACAGACAACAGAGAAGGTGTGGGGGCAGAATGATAGAGCAGAGTTTTGGACATGTTAATTTAGAGATGCCAATGGAACACCCAATTCAAAAGAGAATATACCATGTATAAAGTTCAGAGATAAAAGAAGGGCATGTTCTTGTTAGCCAGTTGGAGGGAAAGAGTTGCAGTATTCCCATTTAAAAAAATCATGATTTAACAGTAAAATGTCATTATATTTGTTAACAGCAATGTTTTAAACTAAAAAAACCTTTTACACTCTCTTTATAAATGTGCAAATTAAACCTTTCAACCAAAATCATATCTCAAGAATATATATATTTATATATATAAAGAGCCTTGAAAATACTCATATTCTTTCACTTGACATTTTAAAGAATTCTATATTAAGATTGCATGAGTCTCTTCTCTGTTGCTGTAACAAAATATCTGAAGCACGAAATACATAAAGAAAAGGTTTATTTAGCTGACAGTTTTGAAGGTTCAATAGCATGTGCCAGCTTCAGCTTGGCTATGGTGAGGGCCAATCTGGCTAGATCACAACACAGCACATTGGCAGTCTCCATTATGGCAGAAGAATACACCAAGAAGGAGAGACCACATGGCAGGACAATAAACCAACAGATTCAAGGGTCAAGCTTGGTCTTTTTATAACAACTCACTCTTTAAAGAAGTAACTCATTCCACATTAGTCACTCCCAAAGATGATACCCCCATAAGCTAATTCCCTCAGCTTTAGGAGGTAGAAATCCTACTTCCTAAAAAGTTCCACAATTTTTTAAAACCTCAACACTGGGGACTAAGCTTCCAGCCCACGAACCCTTATAGAAGAAACCACATCAAAACCATAGCAAAAATATAGAAACCTTTAGTTCTCGCCACATGCAAATAATTAGGTAAATGCACAGTGGTATTTTGTGTAGGCATTAAAAAGGCTGATAAAAATGCTACAATAACCATAAACATTTAAGAAACAATATACAGTCATCTCAAGTGGCTTCAGGCACAACTGGATTCAGTACAGCAAATTCCTGTTTTATAAAATACCTTTTTTGGTAAATGTGAGATGGGTTCCTATCACATTCACTTAGAGAGCTACAAACTGGACGGTTTACTGTTTGGTTCCACTACAGAAGTACAGTATTCTGTGAAACTAACAGGAATTCCTAAACAGGAATCAAGTAAAACAATCCTTGAGCCAGGCATGGTGGTACATGCCTGCAATCTCAGCACTCAGGATAGGTAGCCAGGAAGCACAACAGAGGAAGGGGCCAAGGACCATTTAGAGTACCCAAGGTCATGCTTCCATGCCATACCAGACACACTCTGATGTGTGCTTTCCCATCCCACTTGGCAGCTCCCAAGTGACTTAAATTGACACAATTCACCTTACCCATCACAATAAGCAAATGAAATATCACTCATAGTTATATGGAAATAAAAAGTACAGCATAATCAGGGAAAACAGAAAAGTATCAGTGAAGAAGTAATACATGAGCTCAATCTAGGAAGAATACATAGCAGTTTTAAAGAATTAAAGTTTGGGGAGGAGCAATGGGGGCAGGCACAAAAATATCAGAAGTGGAACGTTTCAAAAATGTAAAAAATACCCCAAGAAATGTGTTCCTCCATAAAAGCAGTGAGAATATGGGCAAAAATTGTCAATATCAACTTTTCAGAATTCTGGAAATTATTCAAAGTCTTGCAAGAAATTTTTACTCAAGAAAAATTGGCTTTGTGGCATCTGAACTTGCTTTATCCCCATCTCTTCTCTCTTGAAAAGATATAAACCCACAACACAGCAGCTATGAAAACTACTTGCCTAGTAGCCACCAAAAGGAAAAAAAAAAAAAGTTTAAAGCTCACCAAAGAGCCCAAGGCTTATCACTACTAGACCTATCTTATTAGGTAACTACCTGAAAAAACTCCATTTCTCAGGTGTCTTCTCCAACTTGACTCAGAACTTGCTCTGTGCAAAAAGCCCTATCACCACAGCACAATGAAAACAGTCAGCAGCAATGGATAGCACTGCAGTTGTTGTGGGCAGGGATATCAGCTAAAGAGGGTGAACAAAAAACTTCATGGATACAATGGGAATAAAGTGTTTATAGCGAGGTTTAGAGGCCTCTAAAATATTCTTAGGAAACTAGAAAGCCACTCACATGCATAGAGCACAGTGTATACCCAAGAAGAACTAAGAAGGTCCTCATCTCTCCATTCTGGATGACTATGAACCTCTGGAGAAATAGGAGATAAAGGCAAAGTCAGAATTATAAATTGCACAGGAGATTCAATCCACTGCGCAAGCATGCATGCATGCACACACACACATTAGCAAAAGGGAGTCAGCAAATGTGAACCAAAAAAATTCTATTCCAAAGGCCAGTGGGATTTATGCCAGCAATACAATTCAATGTAATAAGGCAAATTAATAGAATCAAGAAAAAAAACTACATGATTATCTCAAAGGGGATATCACTGTCCATTCAAGAAACTAACCACCATGAACAAAAGAAAACAACCAACTACAAAATGACACATGAAAACACTATACATATTATAATTATGAAATAACTATATTAAAGAAATGAAATAAGAAACTGATAGTATAAAAGATCAATAGGCTATCAAAATTGATGCACAAAAAAGGGTCAATTTAACCATATAAATTGAATTCTTAATATGAAAACTATAACTAAAAAATCAGAAATTCAGTAGACAAGGTAAATAGCAAATAAGAGAGAACTGAAAATATACCTTAAAGCAGCAAAGTACTAATATACATCACAAATGTGGCAATTAATAAAAAGGGGATCATGAGTCATCAAGGGTAAGATAAGAAGATTCAATATACAACTATCACCTAAGAAAACTGGGAAAGGCCAGTATTAGAATAATGGTTAAGAACTTTCCCAAGAACTGATGAAAGATATCAGTCATTGAATTCAAAAAACCACATAATTAACAGAAGAAAAAACAGAAAATCTCACTTAAACATCAGAGTGAAACTGTAGAGCACAAAGGAAAGACATCAAAGCCACGAGTAAGAAAAGGTAAAATTATCCATAAAGGCCATTGGAATGACAACCAATTTCTCAACACCAAAGAGAAATAATAATAATATATAGCAAAACAGTATGTTCAAAATGCTAAAAAAAAAAAAATAAGTACCTGCCTAGAATTCTATATCCAACAAAACTCTAGAATGAAGATAAAGTAAAATTCTCAAGTTAATAAAAATTATGTTTAATAAAGGTGTTCCAGACTAAAAGCAACTAAACCTCAATGGAAGATCATGTAAGACATGCTTTGATATCCAAAAAGATGAACAGTGACTAGCAAAGCAAGATTTATGTTTTATTTGTGGATTTAAGAAAGATAAAATGATATAAAATGCTGAGCAAGAAATCTTAAGTCATAAGAATACCATACTGTCTCAGGAGAACATGGTGATGAGCTAGAGCGTTCCAAAGTTCTCGTATATGTGAAGCACAGAAATACTAATTTTAACCTTATTCTGTTAACCTCATGGGGAATATATAGCTTTGAATTAATAGAGAATAAGAAATGAAATGAAGGAGAACCGTAAGCAGTCTTAAATAATGCAAGAAAAAGCTTAGCAGCACAGCGACTGCCTACCAAGTGTGAGTAAGGCCCTGAATTCCATTCAGTTCAATTCGGTTCAGTTTAATTCAACTGGGGAAGGGGACTATTTCATTGTTGGGGAAAGGGCATCAACAGGATACATGAAGGCAGAAAAAACTTGTACCTGATCTATGCTATTTTATAATGAAAAATGTATGTATTGCCATGACATTAACACACACACACACACACACACACACACACACACACACATATACATATATACAGAGTCACACACACACACACACACACACACACACACACACACATATACATTTATACAAAGCTACTTTTATAGTCCAGGAGATAGATAATAAAAGTATTTCATAGAAACAAGATGGCAGATGCATCCCCAGGTTTTTGCTTAGGTGCTTCTTTAGAAGTGGTTCTTCCTTTCAACCCAGAGACATAATGTAGTAAGAAGTGCAGCTTTTCAAAAATTTAACAATATTTTCAGGGGCTGAGGATGTGGCTTAGAGCCTAGAGGACCTGCCTAGCATGTACTAGTACCTGGGATCCATCCCCAGCAAAGCAAAAACTATTTTCCGTAGTTTGGTATCATGTCTACAATACAGCCAAAGAAACCTGAACTACAGAGACAGAGATTTGGGTATTTGTATTTCAGAACAGATCCATCATCTAGAGAAAAAAAAAAAGGAAAGGAGTAAACAGGTAAAATGAATACCAGGAAAAAAGAGACAAGTTCATTGAGCATTATGATTATGGAATGTGCTAACTCCTTCTTAAAACACTTCAGACAACTATTCAAAAATAAAGAAGAAAATCTTTGGAAAAAAAAAACTGAAATGCATCAAAATGTTTCCTAAATTTTTAAAGGGATTTATCCTCAAAAATGCCTTTACATTAAATACAATTCTAGTATTTATTACATTTAGATATATCTTGAACATAAATAAGGCAATTCAGTCAAAAGTTTATTGAATGAAGCTTACAGTTTATTTTAAATGCTTAAATTCTAACAGAAATTTGTTTTATATTGTATTGATTTTTTATTGGTACATTTTAGGTATACAATAGTTACATTCATGATGTCTTGTTTCTTATTTTTTCCCCATTCCCCTGCCTTCCCTTTACCCGTTCCACCCTTCCCTGTTAACAAAGACTTTGTTTACATTATTTTCCTTTTCCTTTCTTACCTTTCCTGTACCCCTCCCACTTCCCCTACACCTTTAGACATTTTCTTCCTATTACACAATATCAATTATACATTTTGATCCTTATTTACTTTGTTTTTCATGCCAGAGAAACCATATAGTATTTACACATATCAATTATACATTTTGATCCTTATTTACACTGTATTTTTCACACCAGAGAACCTATATAGTATTTACACGTGTGTCCTATTAATTTCACTTGAGTATGGCCTCAATGTGCATCCACTTAGCTATAAATCTCTCCAGTTTCTCATTCTCTATGACTGAGTAGCACTCTTTTGTTTTTTTAAAAAATCATCTTTATCCAGTCTCCAGTTGATGGGCAATTGGGCTGTTTCCAAATTTTAGCTGTTACAAACTCTGCCGCTATAAACATGGGTGTGCATATATCGCTGTGGTATGATACTTCTGACTCTTTTGAGAAGATACCCAGCAGAGGAATAGCTGGGTCAAACAGGACTTCTAATCCTAGTAGTTTGAGGTATCTCCATACTGATTTCCAAAGTGGTTGCACTAGACTGCACTCCCACCAACAATGGAAAAGGGTTCCTTTCTCCCTACAACCCCACCAGCATTTGTAATTGGTTGATTTCCTGACTGCAGCCATTCTTTCTGGGGTGAAGTGGAATCTCAGTGTTGTTTTGAGAGGTCTCACTTTGTATTCAAGGCTGGCCTTGAGCTCACTATATAGCCCAGGATGGCCTCAAACTCATACAAAGATCATGCTTCAGCTTCCCAAATGCTGGGATTACAGGCATATGCCACCTTACCCAACTAGCAATTATATTTTTATTAGATTAAAAACAGCTGTATTTCAAAGTTTTGATACAGAATTGTTTAAATCATTCCAATTACAAATAATAATATGTGGTGTTTACAGAAGAACCCAGGTGCAAAATTCATTTTTAGAATAACTGGAAATTAAGACAACTTGATATTAAACTAGTTTTATATAACATTCCAGTATCTAGTATACTGAAGTATAATTAAAATTATACATGAGAGCCTAAGGCTTGCAAACAAAAACCACTAAAATTTATATTACTGAATGGATACAAATTAGAGATGGCTAGGGTACGTGGTAATTTCATCACCCAATCTAATAAGGAGAAACTTTTAAAGTCACAGAAAATATTGAGTGTACTATATGGAATATGTTAACTCCTCCTGGTACTGTCCTTCTATCATTATACCAGCCCTAACATGTCAATGTTAGGACGTGCACTTTAACAATCTCAACTATGCCAAGTAAACAGAGAGCCTGCTATAATTACTTCAGAAGAGGGAGGAGTGGATACATTACTGAGGAAGTATCAACTCCCAGCCAAAATATCAGCAGAAAGCCACTACCCCTTACTTCAAGCTGTGATACCAAAATCCTTGGCTCAGAAAACAGATACATATTTACACATTCTTTCAGACCCACAGAAAAGCACACTTTACAATGTTTCAAATAATTTACTTTGATATTCCTAAACCCAAACAAGCTTTCCAAACTGAAAGAGCAGTTTGTGTAATTCCTCCCTTTAAAAGAGAGCTCAAATCTATTTAATTAGCCTTGTCCCACAGAGTATATCTGTTCCACCAACTTTCACCATTCTCTGCACTTAATATTCTACTGACTCATTTGCAGTTAGCCTCCTAATAGAAAACCATCCAGTATTATTATTGCTTTCAGACAAGTAGGCCAGCCCACTGGCTAGAAGAAGAAGCCACTTTCACCCTGTGTCAACAGGCAAGAAGCTCTAATCCTAAGCAAGCCACTTTGTGGGCTGAGAGGGAAAATCACCTTGCATACCTGTAACCCATTTGTGGCACACCAGTGTGAACAAAGAGTATCAACAGGGAAGGTCTGATCAAACTGTTCTGCTGTTTAAGAGATAAGTCTAGATACAGGCTTATACACACTTTATATACTTCCCATTAAAAAACGTCAGGGTGAGATAAAACTTATACATAAAACTCAGCACACACATACCCAGCACTAGCCTCTCCACCAGTGAAAACAAGTAATGTAAATTCTCTATACACTTTCACTTCCATCCCTTTATTTAAACTGTGCAAAATGTTTCTAAGGTCCCTGACATTTGTTGGCACTAGATTCCTCCTCCGTATAAGTTAGAATAGCACTATTAACCTGCCTATTTTGGAACTGCAGAGCACATTAAATTCTCAATGGAAGACAAAGTTCTTTAGACAATTAGAACTTTCTATCAAAATGAGCCAATACAAAAATCTGATATTCTGGTTGATACTGTTATTTGTGCCAGTATGCTCTGTGAAGGCATTTAGATTTTCACACAGGCAGACAATGTACTTTGGTGATAGACTGCTTACCCAGCATGCACAAGGCTCTGGGTTCAATCCCCAGCACCATAAAAATAATAAATTTCAAAATAAAAATCTTTAGACAGAGACAGTGCCATAAACAGGTATCTTGTCTTAAAAGCACTAATTATCTAGACTTCAGAGTATTCAACCTAAGGA